ATTTCATATAGTTATATAATTTTGTGCATGAAACAAAGTTTCATGGTGAAGAATTTTCTACTTGGGGCATAATGTCAACACTAAAAAGTTTTGGATTTTGAAACATTTTGGATATAGAGGTTTTAGATTAGGGATGTTCAATCTATACTACCATACCAGTTGGCAAACAGCACCCCTTCTCAAGTCACCCCATATCCTCCTCTGGGATCCTCCCACCCTCCCATGACATAAAACTGAAGGATTAATTCCTGGAGCAGTATGGGCCTCCTCGGACACTGCTTCAACTGGCATCCATTCTGAGTGTCAGGCATCAGGCCACAACAGTTACTAAACATTTTGGATATATATGCATCCTGCATGCATCCAGTATATATACACAATGTTTCCATTTATAATGTGTTTAGGCTGGTGTTTGGTTCAGATTAAGTTTAAAGCCAACTCAAAGTTAGTAAATTATTCAAGGTTCCTATCGGGTTTATAGCAAATGAGCCAAATAGCCATATCCCTTTGAGGAATGTGAATGCAGGAAAATGAGAACAGGTTACAGTGTTTGTGCTCTGGTTTGCTCTCAGATATGTCAATAGCTGTAAGCTGTGTGAACAAATTCACATTGTCTGAATCACTATACATTAAAAGCCAACTTTGCCTGCTAAATGTATTTAGAAAATGAGTTACCTCCCCAAAAACTAGAAAAAAAAGGAGTTTAAATTATTATCTTTGACATTTAATACATTTCAAAATCATTGAACCAGATTCTCTTCCTATGACTCACTTTATACTTCCTGAACCAAATCAATTTGCCTCTTACAGCCCATGACAACAGCAGGGAAAGAAGTATAGAGTATCTAGTAATTTATTTATAAAGTTCTAGTCACTGCTCTCTTAAAAAGCAGTTCTGTTAACTTCTCACTTAAAGGTCCCCCCCTCTACTCTCCTGATAACCTAATAATTCAATTTCTATAGGGCCAAAAGAGAACGAATAATTTTTAGATTACATTTGAGTCTAAACTCTCAATTTCCCAGATGATTTTTCAGAGCTCGTGCCATTAGTCATTCTAATGCTGCTTTTGCTTAATAATTGGGAGTTCCTCTCATCTTCTGAGCTGTCACCCCCAGCTCATCCTCTGTTTTCCTCATGGTAACAAGATGGCTGCAGAAGCTCTCAATATTACATCTTCACAAGTCAAAGTAAAAAGATAAGAAACATTTCCCAGAAGTCATTTACCAGGCTTATCCTACATCTCTGGTACTGGGTCTTTCCTAAGTCAGTGATTGGGAAGGAAGGATCATCATGATTGGCAAAAATGAATACAGTGGATCTAAGGCTGGGTCCAATCTGTCTTGAGCGTCTAGCTTCACAGAAGAGTTTGTTCTGTTAAAAAAAGTAAAAAGAAGATGCAAATGGCTATTGGTGGGCAATTGTTAGCATCTGCTACAAAGAACAGATATTTGGGACAGTCTTTGTTGTTCACACAGGTTTACGGTTGAGTCAACTGTGATTTGAAGTGGTAAGCAAGGTGACAAGGATCAGCAGTGCTCAGTGCAGAGCTATGATTTGAACCAAAGTGTCTGGCACTGATGCAGCTGTCCATGAGTCCTGAATTCCATGCTCACTAAATATGTCGGCCTCTGGCTCACAGTCCTCCCCTCCACCACAATTTCCCTCATCTTCTGGGGGATTTTCAGTATTTGTGTTAGTAATCCATCCACACAAATCCAAAGCCGCATTTCAGCGGCCTTTGTTTCCACTCACAATAGCCTCTCACGGTCTTGACCTTGACCTCCAATAGCTACTCCAATGTTGAATCTCTTAAATTCTAGCATTGGAAGCTCTAACACAACCTCATCCTTCCAGCCTTCTCCTCCCTTACTTACTTCCATCCTACCTGTTTGTTAAGCTCCGGGGTGGCTCAATCTTGCCTTCATCTGGATTCACTGTTAGAATTCATAAGCTCGAGGGTACCTCAAAGCTCTCCCTCTGGAAGAAAAGGAAGTGGAGGCCCATAATGCTGGAGTGAATGGTCTAAGATGCCACCACTGGTGACTGCAGAGCAGCAACAGATCACATGACCCCTCGTGGTTCCTAGTCGACGCCAAGGTTGTGTTTTGTTTTTCCTATTGTGTTCTTTTAGATTGAGTGTTTCTTCCTGGTAAAGACTTTGAAATACATTAAGTTGGAACAATATTTTAGAATAATATCTACCATACCTAAGTATTACATATTTTATATTTTAAAAAAGATTTGAAAGCATATCTTGCCAACAGCAGGAGAAGGATAGAGTGATGAAAAGCCACTAACATATAACTTTTATGCAGCCAGTTGTGGTGGTTCATATCTGTAATCCCAGCTACTCTGGATACAGACATTAAGAGAATCACAGTGCAAAAAGTTAGCCAGACTCATCTCAATCAGTAAAAACTGGACATGGTAGCTCACACCTATAGTCCTACCATGTAGGTAGGATTGCCATCTGAGACTTGCCCCAGGCAAAAATGCAAGACCCTTATCGGAAAAATAACTAAAGCAAAAAAAAGAGCTAAGGGCATGGCTCAAGTGCCTGCAGAGCAAGCATGAGGCTCTAAGTTCAACCCCTAGTACTACCAAAACAACCACCAAAAAAAAAAAAAACCCTTTTTTCATATTTCCCTGCTGGCAGAAAGTAATTAAATGATTAGAGGCAGTCAAGTGTTTGCACTTGAGGAATTTACAGAACAAATAATTAATTAGATAGCTGAAGTTCTGTAATGTTCTCTTTGAAATAAATGTTTTCATGGGTTGAATGTTTTAAAATATAGACAAAGACTAGGGAACAGGGTGAGTTGCATTTTCTTAGAGCTAAGCATCTGACTTAGAAGGCAATGTTCAGATCACTACTTAGAAAGCAAAACAAATAATCAGCGTACATCGCCAGAAGAAAATAGTACCCAGTGCTGCTCCATTCCTGAGCGACAGGACTTCCTCAAGTCTGAGGGCTTACTGTTATGAATCTGGACTTAGATAATCTGGAGATTATCTAAACACATGCAAGCATTGCTTTTTCTAATGCACCAAAATGGGTTTTCTTTGTGTTTTTTTGTTTTTGTTTTTTGGGGGTTTTTTGGTGGTACTGGGATTTGAATCAGGGCCTCACACTTGCCAGGCAAGTGCTCTACCATTTGAGCCATTCCCCCAGCCCTAGATGGTTCTTCTTAGTTGTGTTTCCTGGCTTTGTATTTTCTCAAACAGTGATAACCACCTAAACTGAAATTAGCTTCAAGAAAACATGAACGTGTCCTCAAAAGATAAGACATTTAGTTAAAAAAAAAAAAAAAAACTTCTTTGGTTTAATCTGTATTGACTATCATACCTCTTTTGAAACAAATTTTGCCTGTCTAATCAGCAGTCTTCCATTTTGGTGTGAGGTAATTTGATGAATGTCTTAAAGACTCATGTTGTCTTTAAGAAACTTCATAAATACCTGTTAGAGCTCTTAGGCTCAGAACAAAGAAAATCCTGATAATTTAAAATATTACTTCAATTTTTTCTAAAAATTGATTTGGTCTGGGAACAAATCTCTCATCTGGCTTCAGTTCTCCCACTCTCACTCCTCTGAGGAAAGGAGGGAAGAAGAAAAGAATACGGCAGGAGGGGAGCACAAAAATTCTGTTTAATTGTGGCTTGGAAGTACCATTCAACATCTGACTGAAATATTTACTATGGATTACAGGAAGGAATGTGGAAAAATTCTTTTCAAGACTTACACATCTTCTGGATTTTCTTCAGCAATGAACACATCAACAGTGACCATCAGTCCTGGACCATCAGTGTGCGGTCTGATACACTGGTCTGTGGTCACTGGTCTTTTGGGGATTTGGTGCTACTTGAGTTGTACCTCTTAACTGTGGGCATTACAGAAACAACTGTGTTACAGAATTGGTCTATCTTTGGATCATAATCTTGCAGACAGCCTGTAAAGATCATAAATGGATGGCCATCAAAACCCCAGAAATAAAGAAAGTAAGTTTACTCTGAATGAATTAAGCTAAGAAATAAACCCAGAATAATTTGGAGTAAAGAAAGATATTTAAAGTCATGATAAAATTGTGCAAGTCATCAGAATCAAAACAGAGTCACTTGTACCAAACCTAAAGCAAAATGGAGCCAAGAGATTCTGAAGGTGGGAATTCCATGAACATATATTTGCTTGATAACAAAAAATTCTGTGCAAACCAGAACCTTACACAAAGACCACTATAGCCTTTCACGAAGATCTGTACCCTCACACAAAGGCCACTTCTGCAAGGATACCTGCCCAGCAAATGCCTTTTCAACCTTGAAGTGATGCCACCCTTGTTATTAATCTTTTTGGCCAATGGCAATTGTCACCAAACAACTTATGCAGCCTTTCTCATTTTACCTTTAAAAATCCTTACTTTGGGGAGCTGGTAGGTTGGCTCTGAGTTCAATCCCCAATAAAGAAACAAAGAAAGAAAGAAAAGGAAGGAGGGAGGGAGAAAGAAAAGAAAAGAAAAAGCTTTGCCTCCCTGGGTACACATATATCCCCTAACTTTTGTTTGCCATGGCATGCATATCCTGATTGCAACCCCTACCACTCCCCAATAAACACTTTCCTCTGGAGAGCCTCTCTCTCTATTGTTCTTTCTTAGTTCGACAAAATCAAATAAAGCTGAGTTGTGCATGTCCTAGCAATAGCAAGAAGTGGACTTATCCAGTCTATTCCATAAGTATTTACCTATTATGTAAATGGATGTACCGGCTATCAGAATTTATGCTTGCTGCACACACTGTTCACATAACTAACTCCCCTTGTTCTGTTTCCTTTTCCCCAGAGTAAATGTCTTATGCATTTGCACTGGTCAGATTGACTTGAATGTGAGGTCTCCTTGACATTTACATTTCTCTTTAGAATTTAATAGCTTAGCCTTCTGTGTTTCTTCCTTGTAGTCTTTTTTAGTTGTGTTAGCAAAACATAGCATTTTAAGTCCAAAGAATACTGGGTCACTGAAAAATTTCAGACTACTATGATCTAAATGTTTGTATCCCCCCCAAAAAAAATAACTCATGCTGAACCTTAACTCCTAATGGGATAGGATTAAGAGGTGGAACTGTTGGAAGGTGATTAAATTATGAGAGCAGAAGCAGAGACCTCATGAATGAGATTAGTGTGCCTAAACAAAGAGACTTCAAAACTAAGTATGGTGGCCTACAGTTATAATACCAGAACTCAGGATGCTAAGGCAGGAGGATTGAGAGTTTAGAGCCAGACTGGGTTACACAGAAAGACCCATGCGAGGAAGGAGTTTACAGGGGAGACAGAGAAACAGAGAGAAGAGAGTTGAAGAGAGAGCTAGCTAGCCCTTGCATGAAGGGAAACTATTCTGGATACAGCTAGAATGTGCCACTTGACCACTATGAACAAGGAAGTGGGCCTATCAGACACTGAATCTGCTAGGACCTTAATCTTGAACTTTCCAGCTCCAGCACTATGAGAAACTAATGTTTGCTGTTTTTAAGCTACTCAGCTTATGGTAATTTGTTACACTAGCCTGAATGAACTAAGACAAGAGCCTACAAGTCTGTATCATTCCTTGGGAAGCAGTGAATTCCATCATTGTGCTAAATGTCTCCTCTTGAGAATTGGTCTGGGCAGCCAGCCAGCCCTCTCCAGGCACCAGAGAGGTGCTTTACTATCTCCCAACCAGCCTCAAGAGAGGATGTCATTGGTCATGTTCTTTTCCTCTGGGAGAGTTTCTAAAACTTCATTTGCCAGTCACTCCTCTTCCAGTAAAGCGTGTGGTACACAGCTCCATGGATGGATGATGGCCCCATCTGCAACAGAAAGGAGAGAGAGAGAGAAAAGCAATCAGTCAACCCAATGGAAAAATTCCAGTTTCTGTCAATGTATAGGCATAAATGATTGAACTCTTTTCCTGGCAGCTTTGTGTACATGGGTAATAAGTAGACCCTCATTCTTTTATAGAGTGCTTTATTTCAAAGAAGTCATCAACCTCAAGATTTCTTATTTAAGCCCTCAGGCTTTCTTGGCTAATCTAATTCCATAGCTGTCATACCAAATTCATCTTTAAAGCTAAAGAAATTCAACTATGTAGTACCCTTTTTCTCAGGAAAAAAAAATGTGACAGGGATCTTTGTGAATGGTCTTTATTTCATTAGAATTTGTCTTTCTGATTTAACTTGTTGAATGTGACCACAAAATAGTTCAAAATATAAATGTTCAAATTAGTGTCAAATTTTCAAATGTGAAGTCAACATGAGCTTCATACACTTGGTAACTTATGTTAATGTTGCCTTAGTGAGACAAACAATTTAAAAAGCATGTTCACCTACAGTAAAAGTATATTTTTAAAATAAAGAGGCCTAGGAATGTGTCACATGGAGTGGAGTTCCCATGTAGGTTGTTCTCTTATCAATCAGAACTGTTCCTGACTTATCAGTCATTAACTGTTGTCCTTTTAGATGCTGAGAAGACTGCTATATAACAGCTTAACAACCGAAATGATTAACTCAGAGCTGGTAGGTATGGAAGTTTTTTTTAAATATTAAATCTACTGAATGAAATAAAATTATAATATTTCAAGGTCTAGTTTCTTATACACCAGACTAACTAAATCTATGCAAATTCATTCATAATCAAAGAAAGGAAGAGGCCTGTTACTCAGCCAATGGAACTCAGGCAGCAGGTGTGATCACCTGCTATGTGTCCAGCATTGGGGAGCACATAAAGGATCTTTAAGCATTTCGCAGAAAAAAGAGGGCTCATGAAACAGATGGAAAACGGAGGACACTGTGGTTCCAAGTACAGTGGAGGTCTGCCTATAATGACAATTTGTATTTTTATGAATTTCATTTCTGTGCAGGCGATGAAAGCTAGGCAAAGTCGGACTTATATTCATGCCTGTTTCTATCACCCTCAGTTCCACCCCACCCCAATCTCCATTAGCTCTCAGTACAGTGATCCATGTGAATAAATACAGGAACAAAGAAGAAAGCGATGCATAGAGATTGAAACTACCATTTTCTGCTCTAGAACAGATGCCAGAAACAGGTCTCCCAGAACCAGAGCCTTCTATTTTTTTCCTCAAAAGAATGGTTGAGTGATCAATAAGTTTAAATTCTCGGAAGTTACAGCACAGTGGCCTCTCCATTAAGCCCGATTTCTCCCCTTTTTCTCCTCTCTCATCTCCTGTGCCTCTCAAATAACCAGGCCAACTGCCCTTACTCCAGGGGCCTATCAATTCAAACATCTAAGCTTTTATAAGCTGTATCACTTAGATGTTTGCTTGTCAGCAAAGGCTTAATTTCAAGGAAGATGAGTAGTGGTCTGAGTCAGCCACTTGTGAAATTCAAGCAGGCAGGCAGGTGATAATAAGGAAAGAGAAATTGATGGGGATCAAAATGTCCCCATGTAAACATCATCCCACCAAGGAAAGGAAGGCAGAAATTAACAAGGGAACAGGAAAATGAGCCAGTTAATACCTAAAGAAAAACATTTCATCTGAGATTATATTTTAAAAGGATATGTGGACTTGCATTTGTCAAAGCATAAATAGAAATATTAATTGAATGACTTTTAAATATGAGAAGTAACATGGTGATTAGAGTAGTATAAGTTGTCCTAAGAATTTTTACTACTACTAGAATTAGATTGTAAAATAATAAACTCCACAACTTCAGCAGGATCTGCATGTGGATTAATGTATAAATTCAATTCTAAAGCCAGAAGAAAAAAGTTTTCAGTTAGGGTTTCTGTCTAGTCAATTGATTTTAATGGCAATTAAGGTGTAATACATATGTTATCTTAAAGGTCATTTGGTTTAAACACCAGAATTGTGTCTTTAAGAAATAAAAAGCAGTCAACTTTGTTAAATACTTCTGGTTATTATCTTAAACAATTAAACATGTGTAATTCTGCGCACCTGTGCCTGCTTTGTGGTCACTTACTGTGCACTTCCCTTATTAGTACCCAGCCAAAACATGTAGAAAGAAAAACAAAAATTAAGCCCTTATTTGAAAAAGTGACTAGCATGAAAGTGGCATATTTGTGACCAATAATGGCCAAAAAATGTTTGCATACTTATGCCAAAGACTCTTTTGTATTCACTGATTAAGTAATTAGTCAGGGAGTGATATCAATGCCTTTTTTTAAAAGGCACTTTTTGATACCTGTAGCATTAAATCCTCATGGTAATAATACCTGTAGGTCATATCTGAGAAGAGACCCCCCCCACATACACCTCTGTTGGGCAAGAAGAAGGAGGAAAGGAGGGATCTTACCTCAACTTCTCTAACCTATCCCACCCAGAGCAGGCTCACATCCCTCAGCACCAGCCAGTGAGGTGTCTAGAGGAGGAAACTGGGTACCTAGATCTGAAGTGGCTCTCCCAGAGGAAACACAGAGCTGGTGAGGTGAGCCCATGTTTAAACCCAAGTCTTCTCCACACCCTAGGCCCTTTCTCCTTGTCAGGTACCACCTGGAGTTTCCCAAGCACATGGCACTCATTTCTCAACAACCAGAAAAAGGCAATGTGTAATCTTGGAAGGTAAGGGAAAATTTTTCTCCCGAAGCTTATAGGCATCTTAATTGAGAACCCGATGAGTTAAAAAGCTAGGTGTCATGGTAGCAGCCTATAATCCAAGCACTCAGGAGGCTGAGGCAAAAGGATCTTGTGTTTCAGGCCAACAGGGGCTGCATACTAGACCCTGTGTCAAAAATTGTTTTTTTTCAAAGAAGAAGGCAAACTAATATGAGAACAACACACACACACACACACACACACACACACACACACACGCACGCATACTCCTACCCGTAGATACTCTTGGTAATGAATTTGGTTGACAGAGTGCCTCATTTAAAAGTCAATTAAGTATACATATATATGTATGTATATATATGATCATATATGTATCTATGTATATATTTAACTTATAGGTCTAGCTTCCACATATGAGAGAAAACATGTGGCCTTTGTCTTTCTGAACCTGTCTAACTTCACTTAACATGAAGTTCTCCAGTTCCATCCATTTACCTGCAAACAACATAATTTCATCTTCTTTGTGGCTGAATAAAACTCCATTGTGCATATATACCACATTTTCTTAATCCATGCATGAGTTGTGGGGCATCTGGGCTATTAGTGAGTCTGTATGAGGAGACTATGGGACTTGGGAGAGGGAAATAAATGTTAGAGAATGAAAAACATGGAAACAGTTGTTGAATAAGGGGAGCATGATGATAGAGAAAGAGTAAGTACCAAGGGTTGATTTGATTAAAGCGTGATATATACAGGCCTGAAGTACCAAGGCAAAACCCCATCAGACTATTAATATACACTTTTAAAAAAGATGAAAGATAGGAGGGTGAAATAGATCTTTTCTGTAGATGGAAATCAGTGTGGGGAGGGAATAAGGAAAGGGTGAGTGAATAAAGAAAGGGTGAGTGAGGGTGAATATGTATTTTGGATTCATATTCAAAAACAGAAGAATGAAACTTGTTGAAATTGTTCTAAGAAGGGGAGATGGGGAAGAGGGAGAGCGATGGAGGATGTAAGTCCAATTAAGATACAGTGTAAGCACATATGCACATATCATAATATATCCCCCTGTGCACATATTGTATACTAATAAAATTTTTCAAAAAGTCAGTTCAGTGGTATTTCTTAAAGCCTTTTGTCTCTAAAAGTGCCTATTATAGTGTTAAGAAGAATAAAAATATGCTGAGCATATACTAGACCTTTATTGTGAATTTCTTGGCTACATCATTGATATGAGATGGATTGAAGAAAGGAGAGCGGCCAGTTAGAGGACGAGAACATCCTCATTAGAGAGTATGTCCTCATTAGTTAGAGGACTAGCAAGCGGTCATGGGAACTTATTCGGGAACAGTGGGAAGAAGAGGGCACAGATCAGGGCCACTCTACAGGTAGAGTGGAACTTCTTACTGAATATGCATCTGCTTCCCATACACTGGAGATCCTACTAAAGACTCTCCTTGAATATCCTTTAGCTACTTCTCAGCCATAACTCATTTTCTATACAAAACTTCATTCTCTCATCATCATTTGGGAAGTAAACGAACATGACACTTTAATAATCAAAAATCAGGTTTGCTCCAATAACACAGGAGGCAATGGCTATACTCTTCATAAAATATTTTACGAATGATGCATTCATTTATTTCATATAGTCAGGTTTATATAGATTGATTCACATTTTAAAAGATTTTTGTCTCCAGAAAATACAGAAGATAAGACAAAAAGAAAGGAAAAGAAAAAAACTATCAGAATATCACTAGTAATTTTGCTAGCTTAACATCTTAGGGAGATGGATTCCTAAGAAATACGTCTTTGTGTTGAAATTGGTTCTTGAATGAGCCAAATTTGATCTTTCAGAAACAGAAGGTTCTCCTAAGAACTCTGTGTCAGTTCCCTTTGAACTTGGGGACAAATGTGAAAAAGAACACTTTGTTACCTCTATAAACTCACTCCAATATTCTAGAGTAGAATTTGTCCTCAGATCTTCTAGAATTTGTCCTGCAAATCTGCATTGACTTTATCTATTGAGTCTATGGGTTAATTTTGATGGAGAAAGTAAATGATAATCCTAGTACAGGCTCTAGAGAGTTCAGAGAGAATTTAAGAAATTAGAACAAATGCTAATCCAGTTCACTGATTGTGAGTAGGTTCCTGCTGTGTCTTTATTGATAGGTCAAAAATTCTTACATTAAGTAGTTGTTGTAAGACTTTTTTTTTTTCTCGCAGTACTGGGGTTTGAACTCAGGGTCTCACACTTGCTAGGCAAGTTCTCTACTCCTTGAGCCACTCCACCAGCCCTGTTTTGTGTTGGGTATTTTCAAGATAGGGTCTTGCAAACTATTTGCCCTGGGACTGGCTTTGAACCATGATCCTCCTGATCTCTGCTTCCTGAGTAGCAAGGATTATAGGTGTGAGACATAAGATGTTTTAAATTTCTGCTCTGGGCATTTGTCTTGTGTAGTCAGCATTCCTTCTTTGATGCTTCTAGAGTTGATAAGTTATATTGCTTCCATTCTCTTGAGCAGTGAGCACAGAGAACTCTCAACCTGTTCCCTGTTACCTCTTAGGTATGACTTCTTAGCAGCTTGTTAGCACTGCTAAGAGAGAATGCCATTCTAGACACAAGATTTGCTGTCAGGTAGGTATCTGATGAACTACTCATGTGGTTGGAGTAAATAAAACATGTAGTTAAGGGAAGAAATCAAAGGATAGTTGTGCTACATAAGGTTATTTCGAAATTATATCTCATACACAACAACTGAAAATGCGTCACTGCTCTTTCCACTCTTGTGACCTGATACTTAAGCCATTGATTTCAAAGTTGGAAATGACCTTCTCAATATTTGGTTTTAGTTTTTCTTTTCCCGTATTCCAATATAAATGAGCCACCACCATGGGGTGAGGGTGGAAAAGTGCAGATGGAGACAAATTCTCCACATAGAGAATGAAAACAGTTGAAATATGCTGGAATGTGTACCTGCCCAGGTCATGTAGGGTCAAAGATTGCAAACAGTTCCTCTTAAGGGCACTAAGAACTAGTCAGTGTGGCGCCCTGGTGCCTTTCAGGTCCATGTGCATTCCAAGTTCTAGAAATAGAGTTTCAACAGGTTCTGCCAGGCTCCATGTCCTGGCAGGTTTTCCTCTTCTTATTCCCCTCAACTGCCAAGGAGAAACTTCTCCACTGCCATGTGTAGGTCAGTGGCTTAGTGCAATCAAGAAATCACTCAAACAGTCAGCAGTGGGCTTTTAGGACCTGGTTCTAGGCAGAGAAGGCTTCTGTGGGGACTTCATTCAGCAAACCTGTCCAGAGCACTTTGACAGGGGTTTGTACTAAGACATACTCTTGTTCCCCACTCCCTGTCTTTTCTGTGTGAAATTTGTCTGAGTTCTACTTGACAGCAAGTGTATGCACTCATCCCTGTGCTCCTCAAGGCTGAAACGATTTAAGTTCTATGTGGAACAAATTCTCTCTGCACTGTGAAGCCCCTCTTGCAGGATACTGATATCCAGCCCTTGCACTATTTCCCACGTGTATCCATGGTGGCCACTACTCATCCAACATGAAGTTACAGCCCAGCTACAAAGCTTTCAGATGAACATTCCAGAAATCCTGCTAGAATATTAATATTGACCTGAAACCTTTTTGCCTAGATCGAAGAGCTCCAACTCAGAGCCACTCCCAGAAAGGTTATCCTAAAAAAGCTGTATTTAGGACAGGATTCCCCATCTGACCCCTGGCATGCCCTGGGGAAGAAACCAAACCATAGAGTTGTTTAAAAACTAACCCAGGCTTTCAAGAAATGTCAGGATAAGCAATGCTGAAGAGGCTCTGGTCTCATCTTAGTTTGTATCAATCATATATATGGCTTTATTTCCAGAAAAGAAAAGTGACAGCCTAATCTTTGTTCAAGTCCACTGTCTTGTTTTAAATTGTCTTGTTTTATAGCCCATAGTTTTTGTTTTAATGAAAAAGGATGATTTTTTTGTGACTAGTACTACTATTCTGTAGTTAATTGAAAAATACTTTAGGAGGTTTCCTCTTCTCTGAAAATAATTGAACTCATGTAAGCAGGCATGATAGAAGGAGAGGTTATGGTGTGTATAAAGTGTTCCTGTTGAGGTAACAACATTCAGCACATACTTACTAAGTTACCAGGCACAGTTGTAGCTGAAGGTCAGCAGGAAAGTATAGCACACAGGTCTTGCTTTTATAGGGACGGAAAAAGACCCACAACCAGTGTGCAGCATGGACAATGTACACCATAGTGTAGGAACTAGACGCTTTGAGAACACAAAGAAGGAAATGCCTTCTACCCAGAAACTTAAGGCAACTTCTCGGAGGAGACAAAGTTGTTTAACACACATCATTGTCTTGTATTAGATATCTCAGACAAACAGTGCATCACAAAACTGCTGCCTTTTAAAGTCTGCCACTTGGTTCTATAAAAGCTTACAGTGGAAGACCATAAATGAAGGCCACACTCCCCCCCACCCCACCCCGTGCATATCGTGACCCTGGTTGGTTGATGCCTTGAACCTTCAGGTTTGATCTTCAGTTTTGGTTGTAGCTTTTCACACGTGCTGTGTTCTTCAAGTATCATGTGTTCAGTTCATGCAGCGGTCTGGCTTGAGTAGGAGGGCTTCACTGGGTTTGGAAATAATTGAAACACTCCTAGGTACCTGTGGGAAATAAGTCAGAGAGCTGTCTTAGTGATGGCCTTTACACCTGGAACTGCCTGACGTCTTAGTTTTTTCAGCTAACCAAGCTATTCAGGGTAAGCTCTGGCAGTAAAATCTGAAAGTGTCAGGAGCCACTGAGCTGATCTCAGAGCTTCCACTGGAGCAGCCAGGGGAGGGTACTAATTTAGTAGTTTCCACTTATGGCAAGGACACCAGGCCCTGGTCAAATATCCAGTGTGGCAACAGCAGTTAGTTTACGCATGAAGTGAGTGCTGCCAAGTGCTCGGGCATGAAGCCCAGCTACCAAGGGGGTGGAGGGGATTCCACCAAGCCGCCCAAACCACCCCATGGCCAAGGGCAGCTGGCAGGTTATAATTTCGAGGATTTTTCACAATGGCAAATTTCAATCTACTTATTTTCCTCTTTTAAAACAATATACAAAGTTGAGGAGTTAGGGGTCATTACACAAACTTGAGGAACCTCTGTTACCTGACTGTTTTTATTTGAGGCCTTCTCTTCATTCAGAATTATCTTTTCCTGCAGGTAGATTACTCCGTGGTTCAAAGGAAACTATTGTTTGTGCTTTATCTCTTGTTAGACTCCACCTAATATAGGGACTCTTTAATGGACCTGTTTCATAGCATGTGCTAGAAAAAGTTTTGTAACTGGAGTCTGAAGATCTGGATCTAAGTCTTGAGTTTTGCCAGGTATTAGCTGTGGGTCTTAGGGCAACCTCTCTGAAAGTCAGGTCCATGATCTACAGAAAGGAGAAAGATGAGGCCAGGCATGGTGGTGCATGCTTGTCATCCCAGTGATGTGGGAAGCATAGGTAGAGGGATCATGATCTGAGGCTAGCCCCAGACAAAAATGCAAGACCCTACCTGAAAAATAACTAAAGCAAAAAAGTGTTGGGGTGTGGCTCAAATGGTAGAATGTCTGTCCAAGGAGGGAAAAAATAAAACAAGTAGAAAGATGATGAGTTTTGTTGATTATTGTACCAAACTAGAAATGGGTAGATCAGAGGTGTTTCTACTGTCTAGCTAATTACAAATGGACCATATTGGTGTTCTAAACCCCAATTGTTACTTTGGGAAGGGAAATTTTCTGAATTGTCATTGCTTTTCCAACAGGTGTACAGGAGTTTATCTTCTTTAATTTTTGAAGAGAACATTTTGCAACTAATTTCTCCTAGAGAGGATTGGTAGAAAACTATGCTACATGACATGATTTATGTCATAGGTGTGTTCTTGGGTGGTTTCTTCAAGATGCCAGACATTAACCTTGGTGTTGAGGACACAGGCACTGGCCTCAAGGATTTTCCAGCAAATCTAAAACTGCCACTGAGTATAGCAAGCTGTGATGGAGCCATCTATAAGAACAACCACATAACATGCACCTCCTGTTTGAGCTTTACAAATTCACCTCACAAGTAGTCTCACAAAAAGTTGAACTTGAATTTTGTCAGGCCCAACCAATTTATAGAAAATATAGGAGAAAGAGAGATGAGGTAATGATTTCCTAGGAATGCAAGTAACAAAATTCAGATGATAGGAAATTCTTCAGGACAAAAATGCCCTGTTTCTTCCTCAACAACACATTAAATTGCTAAGGTAAATAGAGTACCTGCAGATTGTGGAAGTTTATGGGACTTACTAAAAATTGCATAGATTCTTATTTGGACACAAATTCAAAGACACTGTCAAAAAAATAAAAAAGAATATTATAAGGAAGTTGGGGGAATACAGGCAGTGTTAAGATAATTGATACTAACAAATTATTGTTGGTGCAACACTACGTAGATTGTAATCTGGTTAAGTCTCATGTCATTCAAAAATACACATTGAAATGTTTACAGATGAAACAATGGGAGTCTGGAACAATCTGCTTTAAAGTAATCCTAGAAAAGTAGGTAGGATACAGGATACTGACTCTGAGTAGGTCATTGTTGAAGCTGGCTGTGGGGCACGTGAGGGTTTATTAGTTTATTCACCCTACTTTTGTATATGTTTGAAATTTTTCAAATAAAAAAATCTAAAAGGAGCATGACCATCTGTATGAAAGATGGCTGAAATATCCAGCTCCTTCCTGAGAGCAAGATGGTTTGATTTACAGGCAAAGCCACTGTGTGTCAGTCCTGCTGGTTTTTACAAAGACTACACAGTGAATGGTGCCCTGCAGAATCCAGGGGCAGGGGCTGTAACGGGTGCCTGGCCACACCAATTTCCAGGCAATGTTTGAGGAGGGAGCAAGACTGCATTCGGTTTAGGATGCATGTTGTTGAAGAAAAAAGATGATTAATGTAGATGTCTCTTAAGAAGCAAGGACTAAAATTAGAAGGGAATTTGGATTTAAAACAGATTCCCCTTCCAAAATAGAAACAATCGAAGTTGTAAAATCATGCAAGAAAGAGTTGGGGAAGAGAATAGAAGTGAGTGAAATCTAGAGAGAGAAGGAGGGAAAGGGAAGTAAGAGTTGGGGTTTTGAAATATTGACAGGTACTTAAGTAGCTGTTACGAGATTTATGCCGCAGTAGGTCAAATTTTTGCTTTGTATATGTTGAATTGATTATCCCAGAAACCAACTTGTAATGCTTATGCCAAAGGTAATTTGTTACAAGTCTGGAAGGCTGCTTCATGGAAACCTGCAAGAAATGCAGATTTCAGAACAGAACGGAAGCCAACTGGACCTGCAATCCTCTGCCCCTTGTCTCAGGGAGTTTTCACACAAGTGTTCATTCTTTCTGTGGACTGACCATTCCACAGTTCTTCCAGAATATAAGCTATAACTCCACATGTCAACCTAAAAATGTTCTTACTGGAGAAGAAACAATCTAATTGTATTTTCTATCTAATCAACTAGAACAAGTGAGCAGAATCAAAAAGTAGGAGCAAATAATTTTGGAGTCCCACAAATTTGGGTAGAAAGGGAAAGAGCTGTGAGAGAGTCTGGAAGCAACTCCAGCATATTGCCACTAAAGATTTAAATGTAAAAATAAACCGCAGACAGTCACATAGCTGGAAAAAGAAGGAATTTTAATAACCTTTCAGAAAAACGTAGGTATCTTTCTTTGATATTACAACAAAACTTAAGTGATATATTCATAAAGAGTAGTTATATTGTAGAATATAAAACTATATTTATGACACAGTTATTGTTTTGATTAAGATGGTCTCTGAGTCCTCAGAATCCAGTTCTCTCAGAAGCAGGCCAGTGGCTCCTTTTTTAGATTCTCAGTTACAAAATGTCTGATCACTTTTCTTTACTGACTGTACAAACAAAATTTTGGTAGTGGAGTGGGGCAGGGAGCTTTAATAATTTTCCACACTACAAAGGTGTTCAACCAATCATAGGATGGCCAAGATCTCTCTCTCTCTCTCTCTCTCTCTCTTTCTCTCTGTCCCTCTCTTACACACACACACACACACACACAAACACACACACACATATACACACACATACACACATTCTCTGAAAGGTCATCTGATCACAGATTTATAGCCCCATGGTTACCCTTGAATGTACCCAATGTCTGGAAGGTATTTTGAGAAACAAAAAGAGGAGGCAGATTGCTTATTCTGTCACATACAGCTTTGGATTGGGGTAATTATTTTTAATTCCCATGGTAGGAATATGTTCATATTTCTAAGTTTGTATAACTCTTTGGTCTATTTAAATGGATATTCAAGGACACTATTAGTCAATGTCTAATTTAATGGTTATATTTGAAAGACAGTAAAAAATAAATTTGAGCCAAATAGATGGCTTCATGTAATCGGTATCTCCAATACCTTCAATAATAACTAGGCACATGATGTATGATGCTATCATACTTTTCTTTAAAAGGAACACCAAAGAAACTTTATCTCTCACACCCTGCCTAAGATTGCTAAATAACAGTTGGTAGACTCATACCTCCATTGGGCATCTCACTTCTTCACTTAGATAAATATATTCTTGTTTCACGTGTATTTTAAAAGCATTTTCTTGAAACTAAAATCTGACCAACACAATAGACAGGAATAATTCCTAAGTGTCCTTGAAGCCTCCCTGGAAAATCATTTGCATAAAAACAATGAAACTTCACTTGATTTTTTTATAATTTATTTTTATCATTGCTGTACTGAGGTACATTGTAACATTTACAAAATTTCTTACAATATACCATAGTTGAATTCACCCCCTCTATCATTCTCCTTAAGAAGGGAATACACTCACAAAGAAAAAGAGAATGCAAATGAGAGAGCAACCATAAACATATATGTCCTGTTTTTAAAAATGTATCTTTATAAATGCTTTGCTTTTTTTATGCAAAGTATGTTTTTTAATCACAACTGAATTAAATTAGATATAAATGGTTTGCTTTTCAAAATAAGCAAATAAGGACATGAACACATATAGATCCTGAAGTGTCGGCAACAAAGACTTCTTGTTTGTGACATTCATTTATTTATTTCTCGCTGATGGAATAAACTCCAACCTGAATAGATGGGGACAAACACAAGAACCAGGACAGAGGGGAAAACAGAGATGTTGCATAGAGTCATTGAATATCTGTTCTAATAAAAGGATCTTTCTGCTGGAGATGGGATCTATACTTTGAAGGTAATCAGTATTTTCTGTATTCTAGGATGAGAGTTAGAATTTGCCTAGGAAAGACCCTCTTTTTGTTCTGGAATGGGCCACTGTGTGAGCCAGTTTGGACATAAATCTCTACGTCTTCTCTTTGCTTGTGGGGATAGCTCCATGAGAAGCCTCACAACTACGAAATAATGGTAATGTAGATGTTTCAGAGCGACATGTTAAGCATTTGTTGCTGACATTGTTATCAATGTATCTTGACACATATTTTTACTAGACAAAGATTATGAAGAGGAATTAAGCTGTATTTTTAGAAGTACTAGGACTGACTGATTTTGCTCCACAGACATGTCAAGCAAGCCTGAGAAACTCAGACCACAGGAAACATGTGGCCACTGTTGAATGTCTTGTTCAAGAAATAC